AAAAGTGAATACAAAAATGTGAAGGGAGGACTTAAGTATGCACGGAAATGAAGCACATAGGCACCTAAACCAAAGCTACACAAATTGGCGCCTAAAGTTTGAATTCAAATTTGAAATTTGAATTCAAACTTTGGTGCACATGTGTAAGTCCGAAAATTTAGGTACCAAGGTGCATTTAGGTCTGATTTGAGAGTCATTTAGGGTTAATTTGAGTGTCACATGTTCAGCCACCAATGGTGCAAAACATGTGACTCAAATGTAACTTAAATGGCTTCCAAATTAAACCTAGTTTAACCTAATTAGCATACTTTAGTATTCCTTGTATTTTCCTATTCTAATGACCTAATTACATTGGTCAAACAATTACAATGGAAAGGAAAAATTACAAGAATGAAAATGAGCTCAATATTGGGTACCAAAAGCCCAAAGGCCCATGAAGCCCAAAACTAGGCCCAACTAGCCTAAAACCTAAAATGCTATTCTATGTGGTCCAAAATACAAGACCAAAATATATGATATCTATACTAACATCATGTATACAAAACATATGAAATTAGCTATAACAAAATATGGCCCATGAAAAGTTCAACTTGGGCCTTCCAAAGCCCATGGGGCCCTTTGGGCCATAAGAATTATCGGTCTATCTGACTCGAAAAGAGATCCCAAAAAATGTAATTCATCTTTTTAAGAAAAAAAATAGATCATCTAAAAATATAGAAGGCATTTACAAGCTGTCTACTGCAAAATTTCCTGGTAAGCAATAAATTAACAGACATGAAACAACATAAAGTCATCTCAGAGAGATCAATTTACCAGAATTAAAATTGGAGTGCAGCAACGTGAAGAAATGATAAATGAACTGTCACGATGCCAAATTTGCTGCAGAACAGGTGAATATTGCTATCTTGTTCGAACGTATACAACAATTGAAGCTTGAAGATCACGATCAACCTTGAAGTGAGCATTAAAAAATCTTTTTTCCTGTTGTTGAATCCCAATGTTAGAAAATAGAGGACAAATTTTCGGTATTAAGCATTAGAAATCCGTGTAATAATTAACTTAGGGAAGTCTTATTATTTACCTCTCTATAATCAAATGAAATCAAAAGGTTCCTCAATTTTTGTTCTTCAGATAAGTGTAGAAATAACAGTTAGGAAACACACATGAATCATAACAATCACAGCCATAGCTAAACAATATTCAGGTGCGAATTCAAATTATACATACAACAGTAACACATGCACAGTCATTCATCATGCAATGATCTCATGGACTCAACTCATAAATGCATGTGGTGCCAATCACGTGTCTCATAATCACATTTCTCATCATTTCATCACTAGTGACTCAAGGTACACCTTGTTAACTTGTTACATCACTTGGTGACACAAGGTACACCTGTTACATCACTTGGTGACCAAAAGGTACACCTGATTAGCTTGTTACATCACTTGGTGACCAAAAGGTATACCTGGTTAGCTTGTTACATCACGTGGTGACCAAAAGGTACACCTGGTTAGCTTGTTACATTACTTGGTGACCAAAGGGTACACCTAATTAGCTTGTTACATCACTTGGTGACCAAAAGGTACACCTGGTTAGCTTGTGACATCACGTGGTAACCAAAAGATACACCTGGTTAGCTCATATATGCACATGATGCATGTCACACGTTCACAATCTCATGGAATCATCACTTCACTTGTCATGCAATTTCATGTCTTATCACATTTCACATTCTCATAGTCATGGATTATCACATCTCATCACATTTCACATCCTCATAGTCATAGTGTTCACATAGTCATACTCATAATTGTTCCTCATAATGTTTCGCACAGGAACCCATAGATCACTCTAATTTATATCAAAACATATCTAATTTTGAAATC